TGTGTGTGTATTGCTCTTGCTAGTATCACTGGGAATCATTTGCGTTGTTCTGTTGTTGCTATTAATTCTCACGTTTGTACTTTATATTCACTGCCCTGATTGTGACTCGCATTACAAACAAGCGACCTCAGGATCTGAAGAGCAATTTACAACTCAACAGAGCTTGGTCCATTTTATACATCTCACAGATATCAACGTAGATCTGAAGTACAGCAGCTCCATCCCAAAGCGCGATATGTGTCGTGCAGTAAACAGATCCATCACAACAGATGAGTTTAAGGCTCCTTTGGGTAGAGTTGGGTGTGATACTTCATTATTGTTACTGGAAAGCAGCTTAGAAGCGATAAAGAACGCTACAGGGGGCAAAAAGCTGGATTTCATATTAATCTCAGGTAAGTCCTATGAAATGTAATCATTTCGTACTTGTAATCAAATTTATGGAAAAACGTATGGCACCAAATAAGTCCTATAAACATGTTTACTTATCAAACAAACTATCAAACACGAAAATAAGAAAGACAACAACAACAAGATCTTCCTGCTCTAGGCTAGAATACGAGCCTACAACAATATAAAATGCACATTTGTTTTGAACATTTTGTCTTTGACAGCCTTTGAATGGTTATGAATAACTGCCAGGCATTTTGAGGTGTCACAAATTAAAACGCATTTCATCTCTTTGCAGGTTGTTGCCCCTAGAATCACTGGTCGTGAAATTAACTTATCACTGGTTCTTTTTTTAAATTGCATTAACCTGGGTTTAGTTATCCAAAACATTCGAATGAAACTAGCATCAAAAATGCTTCAGTAAGAAGTGAAAGCTCTTGAAATTTAAGCCACTGGGTTGTTACGTGTAAAACTAGAACTTGACTCAATTCACACATTAAGGCAACATGTTAATGATAAAATAACCTCCCCATTACCTATTCTCCACTCTCTTCTTTTTCTGTCTCCGCAGATGATTTCTCTGCCCATGAAGTTAATGTTGACGAACATCACATTCTTGAAGCAATGACCAAGACAGCGAATATGACACACGCAGTTATTGCTAATATTCCTGTATTTCCTGTCGTTGGTTTACATGATTATGTGGTACCGTTTAGCTTGCCAAACACCAGTGATTGGTACCAAACTATTTTGTATCACTGGGAACCATTGATAATTTGTGATGGTTGCGAAGGCCATGCACACAAATCTACAACAAGTAACACGCTGAGAGAAACCTTCCTTATGGGTGGTTATTACAATGCAAGCATTGCAGGTAACTGCGCAATTAAGTCCGTGAATATTGCCCTCATCTTTTGAAATAATTGAAATATTCACCTTGGCGGAGAAAATTAGGATGGTGATTTTTTTTCTTTTAATTTTTTAATCGTTTTTCTCGTTCGCTTGCTTGTTGTTTGGGTCAAACTGACCGTCTCCCCGCAACACATTGCAGACGTAAGCGCCATATTTTTTCAGCAAGCTTTCAACTTTTTGCCTTTTTGCAAACCAGTGACAAACTGTCCGAATGAATAACTTTGATCTTCAGATGGGAAAATGATTTTAATCGTTTTAAATACCATATACTGGCACCACAGAAGCAATCAGGACGATCCGCAAGTTCGTAAAACTGCGTTAAATCAGATGACATGGTTTGAAAGTCAACTAGAGTCTGCTGATGGACTAGGAAAGAAAGTATTGATAACCAGTCACATTCCACCAGGGTAAGTGATATCTGAATTTTAGAATTTCAATGAAAAATATTCTGCTTAAATCAAACGTTATGAACGTGATTCTGATCTTCAAGCTCTGAATTTCAAGAATTATCTTATCCCTATATCATTCGCTGTGTGCTGTTTCGGGATGTAGTGCTAAAGCGGTTTAAGAAAGAGCTTCACTAGCACATCTCCGGAAAACCTCCAGCCGTTTCTTTAACCGCGATTAGACCCATCCTATAAATATAAATAAATAATTATTAATTTAGCAATGGACATACTACTGGTTGGCTCTTCTTGGCCACTGTTTCCAGATCGAATTGGAATTTGGAATGCTGGTTTCTGCGGAGGGAGGAAAACCGGAGGACACGGAGAAAAACCCTCGGAGCAAGGACGAGAACCAATAACAAACTCAACCCACATGTAACGCCAGGTCCGGGAATCGTACCCAGGCCACAGTGGTGGGAGGCGAGTGCTCTCACCACTGCGCCATCCCTGCTCCCCATACTATACCGCCACTCAAGGTTTTTCAATCGTGTTTTTAATGCTATTTAGAGTGGATGTTGATGAACATGAGCCATTTTGGTTGCCCAGTTTTACAGAAAGATACATGGATCTGGTTGTTGGGAAGTATCACAAAGTAATCGCTGGTAAGAAGATTTTACCAGTCAATAGCAATCCTCAAAATGAGAATCTTCTCCTACTTTCAATTCAGCGTGCGAGGGTGTGTGTTTTTCAACTAGACGTCCCTTGTATTATGGCCGTCTATAGATGGTACTGCAACGAAAACTGATAAAGATTTACTTAACGTAATTCCTCATATGTCAACTGGAATAAGATTAAGTTGTAACTTATAGTCCCGTTATTTATAAATTTTGCATTTGTAGGTCAGCTATTTGGTCACATGCACAAAGATGACTTCAGACTTCAGACTCAGGCTTCAGACTTTGACTCCGTCTCTAACGACACAAGGAAATATTTTGCATTGATTGCTCCGTCTCTCAGTCCAGACTACAAGAGCAACCCAGCATTCCGTGTGATGACACTAGATAAAAAGTCAATGTCTCTTTGTGACTACAATCAATACTACATTGACCTTGGTTTGACAAAAGGTAAGGGTGTGGCTCTCTAATTAATCAAACAGGACGCGTTAATGATCATGACGAGTCGTGGAGAGTTGTAACCTTAGAAACATCAACGACCAACCGACAAACGAAAAACGAAAAATTGAAACTCCGATCAGGACCATTAATGCATTCAGAACTAGCATCACCATTTAAAACAAAGTTTTACATTATTCTTTACTTATTGTGCCAACTGCTCATTCTCTCGTGTTCAAGTTTGATTTTTTTATCATGTTTCCTCGTTTGTGTCTAAAAAAATTGAAAGCATCTTTACCTTTTTCTCAGTGTCCTTCACTCCTGTGTGGCGTTTGGATTACACATTCAGCAGGAAATACCCGTTGTTTGCAAACAAGTCTATGGATGCCGACCAAATCTATAAACTAACCCAGGCTTTAATAAATAACGAGAACAATGTGTTCTGGAAGGCTTACGCTTTTTCACGACAAGTTAACTACTGGCCCGATTATTATCCCAGAGCAGTTCTTTACTGTTCCATGCGATATGTCTTTAAAAACGATTATGAAAAGTGTCTCTTGAAAATGCATTTTTAAGGCTAGAGCAAGACTTAGCGAAGATCTTTAAAATGAAGTTGTTGTATTGACAAGGCATCCATAAACAAAATGCTGCATTTAACTTCCTTTTCTAGATATTTTCCCAGAAACACTTGTGGTGTCGATGTGGATTCGTTTAACGAAACAAAACAAAGTTTCATATGATGCACGATCCTCGCAGTAGACAGCGCTATTTAAGCAATAGCGCAAATCAGACCTGAAAAAAATCAGGCCTGTACGGGATTCGA